CGCACACAATTTGGGGTTATTTTTGTATCTGTACGGACACGCGTTCACCACATGAACTCTTTATTTAATCTCGAGTTGATCTCATTTTCCTCCCCATGTCTAGGGATATCTTGATTAGTTCTTATTTAGCACTGCTCGGTTATTGATGTCTCAGGAATATCCTCAATATTAAGTGGCCGGAAGTCGTCTCAAACAACCAACTGTGGGACAGGACCAAACAAGCCCCAGGCAGGCCCTTGACACGAAAAGTTGGTCTACCAAAACAGACGGTGCAGAAGTGTTGACACAGAGGTGACGGCAGCCAGCACGACATGGACATGGAAGAAGAAGAAGAAGAAGAAGAAGAAGAAGAAGCGTCCTGTTTCAACTTGATCTTGAAATAAGCTTTGTCACCGCCACCTTTGTCATTCTATTGCTAAGAAGAAGAGATTACTCATCCACCGATCGGACCCTGAACTACTGCTAGTCAGGTGGAACTCATACGATGCTGGAAAAATGGTTGGTTCTCTGTACTACTCCAGTAAGTACCAGATTCCTCCTGATATCCTCTACGTTTCTGGAGAGGGGGTGTCCTTGTTTAAGTTGGTGAATGCTGCCATAATCCTTGCCTTCAGTTCATCTTTGGTGTTACAAGGAGTTTTGTTGGTCTCTCGCTCAACTGTGCCTCAGACAAAATAACCAGGATGTGTTGTAATCTCGGCAGTTAGGTGGCTAGATGTAAGATGTTACGTGGTCGCAGAAATTGTTGTGACAGCTACGACTGTTCTCCTGCTTGCATGGAATGGTACAGAATCATGCTGCCAGGGTAGCACTACCTTCTCAAGGCACTTGATGTAGGCCTCCGTGTTGAGTTTGAATCCCTCGCTAACGAATGTGGGAGGTCTTTTCTTATCAGAACGCTCAGAGTGAGTTTTTTTCGAGCTGCCATGCCTTCGGAATCGCCATTAGATTCATCTAACTATTTTTGAATCCTCTGCGCTGTCCTCGGATTGACACCCAAACACTTTGAAATATTCGTATTGACGTTTCCAGTGTTACTGCACTTTTTAGCAAAAATACCTTGTAATCAGACCATATAATAATTATCAATGTGTATTTATTTATATATTTCTGATTTATTTATTTATATATTTCCGGTCCCATCTATAGTGGGATAGGAGCTGTATCAACTGAATTTAGTAAATTTATCAGGGATTACTTCCTTTAGGCGTTTTAACAATCTATACAAATAAAATATTTATCTGCATTTAGACATAATTACTTCCCGAGAAAAATGAACCGTTTATTTATTCAGTTTTTTTTTTTTATTCCGACGTTTCTTAAACTGCGGTCTTATTTGTCCAAGCCTTTCGTGTGAAGCATTCAGATACCTTTGTGATCGTCCTGTTTCAACTTGATCTTGAAATAAGCTTTGCTGCCGCCATCTTTGTCATTCTGTTGCTAATCTTTTAATTCTGAGAGATATTTCCATTTCACTGTTATGTTAAACACATGAAATTTTTAACAAGAAAAGATATTGAACAAAAAGCGATTTATATAATACCAGGAGAAATCAATGAATCATCGATATCATTATATGTCTAAGAAATATAAAATGAACAGATTAATTAAATGGTTTATTGGCCTCTATTTTAATAGTGAATTTTTTACCTCCGCTTTCTTGAGTATCAATACATTGTTTCAAGACTTTTGTTTCATTGCATCTCACTGTAAGGTTTAAATAAAACCCTTTGCCTAACGAGAAGGTAACGAGTTGAGTTATCGCCCTTGGCACAGTTGAGACAATCAAGATGGCTGACGGCTTTTGCTACAGTTAGGTTCAGAGGCGAGGTTAGAGCAAGACGTGTTGCAGCTAACGTCCAGACTCACACCATGGTAAATAAAGATATTTCTGACGACCACACCACACGTTAACGTTAACATAAAGATAGTAATCTTGTAGAGGCCAAACTTCATCTATGTTTATGTCGTTACTATCGGCCATACCCAGCTGGTCGATCAGAAAAAGCGTTCAAATGGAATGGAGCAAAAGCAGCATCAAGTTTAGATGTAACACAGTCTATCTTCTTCAATTACTTTAAAGTACTTTCATTAAAAAACATTTTAAATTAATGCAGTTACTGATATAACAGAACTCGTCTGTATTTATTCAATCGTAATTATCTGAGGACATGAACGAGTAAAACAGGCAACATGAAGACCCACTTCAGACCACAATTATTTGGGGGTTTTTAAAATTCAATTTGTCAGTGTGCTACCAGGGACGTAAAAGAGGATACATTTATAAAACAATTGTTAAGTTTGATGAAAATTAGTTGAAAGATCAACGGAAAATAAGAGAGAAACCATTAAACATCGCTATTTTTCGCTATTTATGCGAGTTTTCACTATATGGGTGAATTCAGTTATCAAGTTAAATGACTGTTAAACTTATTCTTGGCTACAATTGAGTGAAGTTTGTATTAGATTGCTTAAAAATTGAGGGAGTTTTTAGTTTAAAATTTGTGTTGAAATTGATTTTTAGTTTTTCGCGGTTTTTCGCTCAACGCCGTGGCAGGGAAATAAAACTGAGGTATCGTTTAGCTCGTCATGATGTAAGTAACCTACATACCGAGTTTGAACGAAATTGGAGGAAAAAAGTTGAATTTATCGATTTTTGATCGGCTTTATCGATACTGATTTTTTTTTTTAAATTATCATTTTTTTACGCTAAGAACCTATCTCTTACATTGTACAATGAAGGTGCCAAGTTTGGTCAAAATCGGTTGGACGGATCTCGAGTGAAAAGATATCACACAGACAGACACACAAACATCCTCTGTTTTTTATATATGTAGATATTGTTGTTTTACATTGTTTTATTTAATAAAACTTATTTCGGAACACTTCTTTTCATTTCCCTTTGGTACCTCGTATTTATTTTTGTTTGAGAGCTCCTCGAAGTAAGGAGCCATTATAAAATAACCACCTACTATCACTATTAAACTTTCTAACAATTGCCGCCATTTTTGACGACACGGATACACTAGTTTCTTAACAAAACTTCAGGTTCTGCGAATTTTAAATTAAAAACAAGTAACACTACTATTTGATACTTAAAACAACGGGTTTTACATATTTTTTTAATTAAAAAACCACAGGTTCTACTATTTTAAGACCGACACTACAAATGTTTAAAACAAAAGGTTCTAAAAATGTTAACTTGAAGAAACCTACTGCAATATTTAACTCATAAAAACAGGTTCAACCATTTTAAGTTAAAAACAATAGTTTCTCTGATGTTTAACTTTGAAGAAAACAGATGCTAGAATTTTTTTTATGTAACAATAGATTCTTATGACTTGCAACTAGTTCTACTATTTTAAACTTTAAAACAATATTTCTGAGATGAGGTATTATGTACACTATTTACATTATTCGAACTATTGTCCTCATCTTTGCCGCCATATTTATTACAACGTTTCGGCCTTTCAGTATCTGTCTATATTTCTGAGATGAGCTATTATGTACACTATTTACATTATTCGAACTATTGTCCTCATCTTTGCCGCCATATTTATTACAACGTTTCGGCCCTTCAGTATCTGTCTATATTTCTGAGATGAGGTATTATGTACACTATTTACATTATTCGAACTATTGTCCTCATCTTTGCCGCCATATTTATTACAACGTTTCGGCCCTTCAGTATCTGTCTATATTTCTGAGATGAGGTATTATGTACACTATTTACATTATTCGAACTATTGTCCTCATCTTTGCCGCCATATTTATTACAACGTTTCGGCCCTTCAGTATCTGTCTATATTTCTGAGATGAGGTATTATGTACACTATTTACATTATTCGGACTATTGTCCTCATCTTTGTCACCATATTTATTACACATGACACAGTGGATAAAGGTGTTGGTTAGATCCAGTGACGGGACCCAAACAGTGAGAGTTCAATACCCGGTTAAGGCAGTGGAGAACTTGGAGAGGGGAATTAACAGGAGATAACTGATAACTGACATCCATCAAACATGGCACGTGGAACTAGAACAGTCTACACCAGCGAGCGAAATAAAGGGTTCAGTTTGACATTCCCACCACCTGAAGAAGGCTGAAGCGTACACCGCCGAAACGTTTTGATAAATATGGCGACAAAGATGAGGACAATAGTCCTAATAATGTAAATAGTATCCATAATATTATTATTATTTTTATGTTTTTAATCAGATTTGTTTCATAAGCACATGCCTGGTTATGAGCTAGGGTAAGTGAAGGAGTAATCAAAGAATTCATTAAACAAAAGATGTCTAATAACTTAAATGGTCAAAGCCCTTCGCAAAATTTGGAACTGGGCTTGTTGGAACTTTTGGGGAAGATTTCCTGGAAAAATGGTACGCCAGGAATTTTGTTGATTTGTTCTTGAGTTCCTTTCTTTATCAGTCCCAAAGCTCCAACCACAACAAAAACAGTTTTAGATTTTTAAGAGACATCTTGTTTTTTTTTTCTATTTTCATCTCTGGGTATTTGCATTTGCTTAGTCTTTCAAAAAGTCATTATTATTATTATTATTATTATTATTGCATACACAATTTACGTGACGCCAAAGAAGCCATGTAAGAAAATAAATAATGTAATGAAATAATAATGAAGGTATGAATCTATATGGTGAAAATATTTTGTCGAAACAATGGAGGACGGTTTTTTGTATCAACCTAATATGCTTATTTGCGTGCGTGTGTTTGTGTTTAGTTTAATATGTATATGATTATGAGCGCCTATATGTGTGCGTGATTGAATATGCAAACAACTTTATGTTTGAACGTGAAAGCATTCATATTTATGAATGTGTAAGTGAATATTTTCCTTCATGTCTGTCTTTGCTATGTTCTTTGTTCAAACACGGACGACATGAACGTCGTAGCAAAGCCTAACAAGCATTTTCCTTAATATGATTCGCAGAAAATTAATAAACACGCGTATGTACGCACACACACACAGACACACACAC